TGGCTCGTTGTTGTTCTAAAGACTCTTTTAAGGATTTTAAGTGAGTTTGCTTAAATTCTAAGGTTTTATTTGTTTTTTCTTTCTAACTTGTTCATAATAAACCGATTTTGTTACATTTCTTGTTGATTTTCTTCTATTTTATCACAGGAACCTGATACCCCGGACATACCGCGGGCAATTAGATTTTCAATCCTTTTTTATAATCACGTGCTGGTTCATATTGTTCTGCTTCACTTGCTTTACTTCGAAGTTTTTGGAAACGTGATCAATTTTTTCTGATAGACTGACTTTACTGCTGTCAGTTTTTTTATTTTTCTCTCTTTTTTCTATTTTTTTACCGTTATGACGCAAAAATTACCTTTTTTATGGTACTTAGAGAAAAAAAAGATTTTGGAATTATTGAAAATTAGGGAATCTTACACTTTGACAGACCCAATGAATACATATTTTCTTTGTAGAAGCGGCATGATTTGGAATATGCAGATTTTCGGATAGCCTAATCCTTATGCTGCTTTTTTCAGATGAATCTCTTTCCCAATATCTCAATATTCAACGAGTTGCGACGCATGAACATCCGAGAGGTAAAATAAGTTAACTTCATGTGCAGTTATCACAAACGAGGCTTGATTCAGCTTCTCTACCAGTCTCTCAATTTCGGTATGGTAATCTCAACAGCGTTGATAATTTGGAATGCATTGGTTGTGTTGACTGGATCAGGTTCTCCGGTTGTTGTTGTGTTGTCCGGATCAATGGAACCTGCATTCCAAAGAGGAGATTTACTCATTCTCACAAACGATCTAGATGATCCAATTCGTGTTGGAGATATAACTGTTTTCAATATTGAAGGCAGACCAATTCCAATTGTACACAGAGTCATCAAGGTATAACAAAGGAACATCTTGTGAACCCAGTTTTTCATGAAAGTTTCAGGATAAGTTGATCGTATTTTCTCTGAGAGAGGCAATTGAGGTTTTGTTTTTCAACTTCCTTCTGGCGGCTAATATTCGAGAAAACGCTCAAATGAGAGGGTTTTCGGTTTTTGAATGAAATGGAATAGTTATAAAACGACAAAAATTAACAGAAATACCAGGAAAATAAACAAAAAAATATGTCTGCACAGCCAGGATGGTTCTATTAAAGGTGGCCTTCGCCAGTTTCTGCCGAGTTATGGTATCAGTGTCAGTAACACAAACCCCCTCTTCAGTGCAAAACAAGTGTTTTTCGATTTCTGGGACGTTTCAGAACATGAAATTTGTTGTGTTATCCTTAGAATTTTACGGGATTACATATTTCTTTTTTTTCACGATTTTCCAGACTTATTCGAAAATTGAAAAAAAAAATTGAAGGAAACGTCTGAAATATGAAATTCTACGTATAACACAACAAATTTCACGTTTCGAAACATCCTAGAAACAGAGAAAATCGCCTTTGAAAATTATTGTTTTGCACTGAAAAGGCGTTTTTTGGTTATAAAACTGATATAACTCGGCTGAAACTGGCTGAAAAGGCTGGCGAGCGGATCAAAAAATATTCATAGGTATCTAGATTGACTATTCTTAGAGGTATCCAGATTGACTAATTCCTGAAAAGTTATTCAAAATAAGGGTTTACAAGGTGTTGAGATTCTTTCGTTAACAAAAGAAAATATGAAGATTTTAGGTTCATGAAAAGTCAGCCAACGACACTAAATTTTTGACCAAAGGAGACAACAACAATGTTCATGATCGCAGTCTTTATGCTGAAAAGCAACAATGGCTCAAACGCTCCGATGTCATTGGTCGTGTTAAAGGACTCATTCCATACTGTGGATATATGACAATTCTCGTGAACGAAGTTCCCTATTTCAAGCATATTTTGATTGGATTCATGGCTATCGTCACTCTCCTCCACAGAGAATACTAAGAATAACTTGTATTGTCTAATGACCTCCCATTTATGTATTCGTTTTGTCAATAATGCGTCAATAAATTGTTTTGATATGTAATGACTATTCTGAAACAGGAAAAATGATTTGGATTCGCTAAAAAGCGGAAATGGAGAATGAATCACATGTAATTCATTATTCTGGTATTATAAAAAGTGATGGCCCTGGGCGAAGGTTCCAGCCACAACTACCGCAACCTAGAAATATTCTAATTATCTAGGATTTGTTACTTTTGTTGTTACGCTTTTTTTGTTCAGTTGTTCAGGTTCAGGTTGTTGTCTTTGTGGGACCTTTGGCTACAACCACCGCTCCAATTTTTAAGATACCACAATAATGTTGCGAATCACAGAAACCGACAATTTCGGCAGAGAAATTTGCTATAATGTGATTCCAGCGACGTTTTATACTTCAAACCCCTTACTACCTTCTTCTTTCACTTCTTTCCCGGTTTCAAACGTTCTCATAGTGCTCAATATCATATTTTGATTTCTGACTAATCTTATCAGCTTGAGAAAAAGGACATTAATTCTTTTCGCACTTTTTTAAAAGTGCAAAACATCCATTTCATGCCAATTCCCCTTCTCATTTCATGCCAATTCCTCATTTCTCTATTCCAGAATTCTCCTTCTAGAAAAATGTGTATTAGTGCGCGTGCGCGAGAGCTTTGAAAAGGTGGTGAGAGAGAGAGGGAGATTACTCCAATCCCCTACATGTCTCTCGTTTCCTATTCACTTCATTTCTATATATGAAACTGAAAAAGAGAAAAGTGAGAGTGCGAGTGGGATAGCTTCAGCTGCTGTTTCATATACTGATAGAAGTCCGTCGTCCGCGCACAAACTCCTTCTTCTTCTCGACTATATACTTTTCACATTTACATTACTCTTGACTTTATGCACATTTCAAAACGCTAATGAATCAGTAAGCTTACTTTTTTTAGTGTAAACCTTGTTATCGGGAACTTAAGAAGATGATAATGCATTGTCTGGTTCACTGAACTTCAAAGATGTCAGCCGTTTCAAGTGAGTTTGAACCTAATACAGAAAGATTATTGAACACGCCTTGTTACCCGGTTGAGGGGAATGCTGAGAGTGTCACCGTATCTGCTCTATTTAAAGCCGACATGATACGTGAAGTTCGAGCTCAATTATTTCGGTTCCTATGAAAGATATCAAAAATCAGTTAACTGATAAATATTGGTCACTTTTTGATGAACAATTTATCAGTTATAAACTTTTTGATATTTTTGCGAAGAACCGAGATAGTTAGATTTAAAGTGAAAATAGAGAGTGAGCTTTTAACAGAGCATTTAGAGATAGAAGGATCAATTCATGTTCTATAATTTTAAGGCTGGAGATTTTATTGTTTTTCAAATGCTTTGGTTCGAACTGTGAGTGTCTTCATTTCCGTTCCTATTATTTAAAATAAAGTTTTTAAATAGGCAAATTAGAGTGTGTAACAGTTTTCCGCCTACGTATTCGTCGACTCTTCCGTGATTTTTTCTAGTATAAATCAGTCAACTTGGAGCGTGCTTGTCATGGTCCCTGTGACAAGTATTCAGAAATGATCAACTGACAAAACATTGATAACACCATGATGAATATTTTGTCAGTTGACCACTTTTTGATATCTTTCAAAGGATCTGTGATTAATCAGCTAGAAATTGACTGTTAGGGGGAGTACTGACGGTGTCACTGTATTTGCTTTGATAGAAGCCTATGCTCTACAAGTATTTTGAGCTGGTTATTTCGTTCCCTATTAGAAATATCAACAATTTCTCAACTAAATATTGATGATTTTATGATGAATATCATTTGTGAACTTTTGAGATTTTTTAGAGAAAACAAGACAATTGAGCTTAAAGAGCACTTATAGGGTGGGTAGGCTTCTATCAGAGCATACTTGGTAGGGTGAACCAGTCAACTTTGAGCCTGTTTATCATGGTCCCGGTAAGAGATATTAGAAAATGTTCAATTGGAAAAAAATTGTAGGTACCACGATGAACATATTTTCTGTTGACAACTTTCGATATCTTTCATACAAACTGTAATAAATTGGCTTGAAGTTGACGGTTAGGAGGAGTACTGGCGGTGTTACCGTATTTGCACTAATAGAAGCTTACCTGATACGTTAACTTTAAGCTCAATTATCTCGGCTTCTTCGAATGATATCAAAAAAATTATTGATGAGTTATTTATCAAAAAATGATCAATATTTTATCTGTGGACAAATTTTTTATAGCTCTCATAAGAACTAAGATAATTGAACTCAAAGTTCATGCGTGGGATGAATTTCTATTAGTGTCGTTAAGATTCTTTTCTTCCCATGGTCATGTTGGTTGGTCCACACCATGTACTCATACTCCATCCAAAAAATCTCAGACATAGACAACAATAACGCCCTGGATTAAAATGCATATGATCAGCGAAGACATAATGAGAACGAATGTTCAAAAGACAGAAGGTGTACAGCTGGACCCCAGTATAAGCCGGCTCTAGGTGGGTCCTTTTTAATGGGGAAATGTAATAATTAGGAGGATTCTCATCATTTCTGCGCCTCTTTCCTTCCTTCCTTCACCGGTAGATTAATTACTACTAATGGGCCGTGCATGGAACGCGGGGAAAACAGGAATACACACAGCATAAGTGCATTTGAATGAAATTTTTGATGAAAATTATCACTGAATACTTTTCCACTAACTTGGGTAGGGTTCACAAACAGTTTAAAATTGTGAACTATCTAACCAAGCTAGTGGAAAGTGGACTCACATCAAGTTACTGGTTATAAACTAACACGGGGAGTACTTAGTAGGTTTCGATCTTCCGAATCGGATAACTCTCTGTTCTCCGCGCTCGGTCTTTTAAAGTGCGCTCGTTTTTTTGGCGAAACACACACGACGACGACGGAAAGAAAAAGGAACAGGTTCTAATTGGCATTTGAGGAGATTGAACGAAAACGACGACCATCCCAGCATGTCGTACTCATGTCCAAAAAACGAAACAGGGATTCATCCGAATTCAATCACTATATTGTCATTGTAAGATGAACTTTGACGAACGATTCTCCCGCGTAGCTAATTTACGGATAAAGATATGATAAGATTATCTTTTTAAGAAGACATGTTTTATCATGATTTATTGCTTATATCTCATTCTGATTCCCATTTTCTCAATTTCTTCCCTCGTTTAAGATCCTTCTCTCATTTCATTCAAGAAGTTCAAAGTCCAAAAATTCAAAATCTTTCCCATTCTAGATGTTTTGTTTCTCCCCTCTATTTCGGACTTCTTTGATCTTTCCGCACCTTTCCGCAAAATCTAACTTCTCTTTAAACCTTTTGTTCTCTTGTCACAAGTAATCAAAACATAGGTGTCATATTGGCAAAACTTTCACTTTCTAATCTTGTGCCATATGCGTGATTGGATGTGCTTGGTAGTACCAGGCAAGCATCAAAGTACAAATTTGAAAATTCAGCTTTAGTCACAACAAATTAAAACAATATACTTTCAATTTTTTGATACGGTCTATAACACATCTGCGGAATTGAACGTACCATCTAGTACCAGCTAAGTATCAAAGTGCAAATTTCAAAATTCCGATTCAGACATTACAAATCAAACACCGTCGCACCTGTATTAGAAGGACCGGCTTTTCTATTTTTCAAATTTTTTCATCAACAGTTGATGAATTCTCGTTCAAGCTTTATTAAAATCTGTAAATTTGACCAATTTGAGCCAGTTGTTGAACGAAAAAGAGTTTTTTCACAAGTTTCTGTGAAATTTCGGGAACACTCCACTGAAAACATACGGAATTTTAAATTTCAGACAACACATTTGGAAGACGGCTCATTTATTATAGTTTTTAAACCCCTTCCAGAGGGCCCTCCTATTAGAAGTGCCCTTCTATTCAAGGGGCCTTTCCGCTTGATCGGCAGTGCAAGCATCAAAGAACAGTTTTTAGTCTGCTTCACTTTAGCTGTAAAAATCGAAGATTAGATCTTATCGTGTTTTTTCCAGACAATCTGATCTATGGAAGCTCCCGAGGAACCAGCTGCGCCAATTGGAGTGGAGTACACTGATGACGGTACGATAACAGCACCTGTCTCATATTACATAAATTCTTCTGTACAGAGCCCCGCTACATTTCCGAGAGATTTTGGATGACGGGCCAACGAGGACGTCGTGGCCGCATCGACGAACCAGATAGTACGTATTCCGAGGAGATGTTATACAAAGAAGAGAGTACAGACGAAGTGCATGTGGGACCGGCTGGCGCTCCCCCCGCCCCAAATTCACGAGAAGCCAACGTGCCCGTAGGAGGCGGAGCTGAGCAAGCCCCGCCCCCTCCCAGCCCGGCCGTCGTCGAGGCAGTTGCTAACGGTAACAAGAGCGTGTGTTGGGCAGCTCTCTTCTTATTTCATTTTATATTTCAGTTGCCATTATTGCATCTCTTAACAATGTTGCTCGGCCAACTGTAGAGACTTCTAATGAGCCTGACGATAAAGAAGATAATCGTAGTAGAAGCTCTTCAGTTAGCTATTCCGAATGGGATGAAACAAGCTCTAGCAGTGATGATGAGTCATATGAAATTTGATTTTTTTTTCTTTAGAACTTTTCAATAAAACGATAATTCGAACTTTTCCTGGCTTCTCACGAATTGCACACAGCTATTTATGCTTTTTATACCTTTTTTTCTGCTCTGCTCTTCTCTCCACTAAATTTCACAAACTTTCCATTTTTCAGGGTACTACAAAAACTGCACAAAACTTACCACCGGATTCGTCAACATGTCGGACAGTGAGTTTATTTTGAATTGAGGATTGTAATAAACTCCTATATTTTTAGCCGGTTCTGTCAGCTTCTCCGTGGAAGCAGCTCCGGAAGCTGCCAAGGCTGTGCCAGCCGCCGAGGAAGCTGTTGCTGAGGCTCCGAAGGAAGCTCCGAAGGAGGCTACTCCGCCACCACCATCGCCAGGAAATGGTTTTAAAAAATTCATATTAGCATGCTCTATACATTCGTTTTTTGCAGAACTGGTCCAGGCCGAGGAGCCAGCTGCTGCTGATCAAGGAGAGAAGAGTGAGGAGGAGGCTGCCAAGGCTGGCGTCAAGGCTCCGGCTCCAGTCGAGGTTCCAGTTCCAGCCCAGGCTCCGGTTCCAGCCGATGCTCCGACTCCAGCCAAAGCTCAAGCTCCAGCTGAGGCTGCGGTTCCAGCCGCTGAGGCTCCGAACACCGAGGCTCCATTTCCAGCCAAGGCTCAGGCTCCAGCTGGACACGCGGACGCTGCCGAGGATTCGTCTTCGAAGCGCAAGGCTGACGCTGACGGTAAGTAACAATTATCCGAGACCACACAGAAACGTTTTAATTCATCTTAATTACAGAGCAAGAGCCGGAGGCAAAGAAAGCGCGCAAGGGAGAAGCGGAGGAGGCCGGAGATGAGAAGCAGGAAGAGCCAAATGACGGTGACTAAACCAGCACCTAACTCTGGAGCGACGTAAACTTATTGTGTTAACAGCCTTGCATTTAATCACCCATCCCCTATTTTTTGTGAAAGACTTACGAAATTCTCCTAGCCAATGATCATGATATTCTTGATCTCAATCAATATCTCGATCTTATACAATTCATTGTTAACACAATAAAACAGTTAAATCCCACTTCTTATTTTCAGAGTGATGAGATCACGGTATGGGTGGTTCGATAAGAATGGTGATCCTTTTACAGAAAATTTCAGAGAATTTCCTTTCCTCGGTTGAGATAAGGGCGGTTTCTGAGTTCATAAGGGTTGCTTACTCTATTCCAAATTTTCGGCAAATTTGAGATGAAATAAAATGAATCTGGGAGTAAGTTTGATAAAAAATTGGTCGGGTGTTCTGTCTGGAAGAAGTCTGTCTCCGTTTTCCCGATCTTGGGATGCTTTTTCTAGAAAAAGTCTGTCTATCTATTGGGAAAGGAGACACGCATCAGCCAAATTGGGATTTATATTGCGGTGAAGTCAAAAACGATTTTTGGAATCGTTGAAAGAAAGCAGAATGACGGAACATCTGGTATTTTGTATCCTGTTTTTTGGCAATTCAATTTGAGATATTGGTTGACCTTTATATATAGCCATGGGTAAAAGATGTTCTTCTGTATTATTGAAAAAAAAATGAGACAAAAACATCTGCACTATGGGATTTGAATCTGTGCGATCGTGGGGCCATGAGGATGATCGAGAACGTATTTGCTCTAATAGAAGGAAAACCTCTTTTTGCACTTTAAGCTAAAATATCTCAGTTCCTTCCAAAGATTTCAATACATTTTTAACTGTTAAATTACTCATCATAAAATCATCAATATTTTATAATTGACAAATTAGTGGTATCTGCAATATGGAACGAGATAATTGAACTCAAAGTACTTGTATAGGGTGGACTTCTATCAGAGCAAGTGCAGTATGTATGTATTAGGTTGGCCGGTATGTAACTGTCCTTTTTTTGATTCATGAATAACAAAAAAGCAAGAGTTATCCAAGATCGACAGTATGCACCGTCGCGGTCCATGACATGTTGACAACATTCAGGCCTAATCATCAATAATAAAATAATCATCAATATTAAAAACCTAATCATCAATAATAAAAGGGCCGAATCAGGAGTTAGAAGTGCGTAAAGGAGGAACGTCCAGCTAAAGCAGCCCAGGTCTTACTTGAATTACCGTTGAACATAGATTCTCAAGTTGTTTAATGAAACTCAATTCAGTCCTAAGACGCTTTGGATGGACGGCTCTTCACTTTCCTTAAACTCCAGACTTGACCCGTTTATTATTGGCTATTCGGAGATATTCAACGTCATCTGGAGGGAAATTAATTTTACACTGTCGATGAGAAAAAAACGTCCGGGAAGGTATACTTTGATTCACGACCACCTGGCTTTTGGAGGTATGGTATCCACAAGTTGCCTGAATGTTGTCAACATGGGACCACGACGGTGCATCCTGTCAATCTTGGAAGGTCCTTGTTTTTGTGTTATTCATGAATAAAAAAATGGACAGTTACTTTCCGGCCAACCTAATACGAAGAGAAGTTTGCCCGTTTTTTTTGTAGATAGCAGTTTCAAAACAAACAAATGGTTATGAAAAAAAATGGCCAAAGGACTTCAAAAATATTGTATTGAGGAATTACGGCAGAAGCATCGTCTTTTATTATAAATGTTGTAATCTTGAATTTTCAAATCAAAATTTAAGTATTACTAATAAAGACTTCTGTCTGTCTGCCTGTTCACGAAATAATTTAAGCGGATAATAGAACTTTGCGAAACATTTGTTAAACCAAGTTGCTTGCTGCATAAAAAATAATCGTAAACACTCCAGACCCCTTTGACTTTGATCTAATTTATCTCGGTTCTTGTGAAAGATATTTGAACGTTGTCAACTGATGAAATATTGCTAATATTACAATAAACACTCTATCTGTTGACAATTTTTTGATGTCTTTTACAGTAAATGAGATACACGAGCTCAAAGTTATGGTATGTGAAAATCTTCGAATAAAATATTCGGGAATGGGTTTTTTTAGCGAGTGTATTAAATTTTGATTTTTCCTTTACACTATTTTTCTGTGAGTTACTAAAATTTCAATATTGTCAACTGGTAACATTTGTGTTAAAAGTCGCAGCATAGTGGCGATTTTTCCTTCGTTTCCCGATTACCGTATTTCCTCTATTGAAGCTCGTCCAAGTCGTCAACTTTAAGCTTAATCATTTCAATTGTCGTGAATGATATCAGCATTTTGTCAACTATGAAAATGTTTATCATAACATTACCAATGTTCAATCAATTGTCCAGTTTTTGAAACCTTTTGTAGAAATCTAGATACCTAATTGAGTTCAAAGTTGATGGTTTGATGGCATTCTATCAAATAAAGTACGGTAATCCTGAAATATCTTACATGAACGGAGAATTTTCATAAACTAGACTGTATGAAATCTTTATTAAAAAGTTGTTTACGAGTTTGCGCTATCCAACCCATTAGTCCCCCTCTTCATCCGAATAGTTCTTTTTTCTGTGTCCGTCTACACTCTCCATCTCCATTTCGACAAGTTTTTGCTCCCACAATCTCTCTCATTCAAAAAAAATTGTATGTGAGAGTACCTAAAACTGAATGTAGATTGATACGATATAATATGTTTCAGTTTAATTATTCTTGGTTGCTAAGCAGACAAATACTTGTACCCGTAGATGTTCGCAACTTGAGGAAAATGTCTCAAAAATCGGGGCGTCCAAAATTTCTGAAGACGCTCAATCATTAAATTTCGGTCCAGTTTTTCTGGTCTCAGCTCTAGTTTTTCGTTCTACAATTTTCACATATCGTATTTCGTATATTTTGGATTTTTCCTTAGCATGTCTACAATTTATCATTGTTTTCAACGTTTCTCTGCTCATAATCATCTGATTCGTCATCAAATTTATCATCCACTCACGTTTTTCATTCTCTTGAGACTCGAAATTCCATGTTTTTCGTGAGTGAAAATTATTTCAAACTTTTACCTCATTGTTAATAAAGGAAAAACTAGTTTACTGCTTTATATCTGCTCTTTTTTCTGTTTCAAAAGATAATTATCAGTTTTGGACATTTATAGCCACGCGTTGTGGATTCAAATTTGTCTCGCATATGTTTACGAAAATTCAAATCTTGGAGAGAGAAACAATACATGTTATGAAACTCTATGTTTTGTATGGCCTTGAGTAAGGACCAGAAGGTTCTGCGACCTCTTCTCAAAACATATGTGATTTTTTTTTCGAATTTTCCTGGATTCTTCTACTCTTTTTCGAATTTCCTCGATATTTTCCAGCTGATCATGATGTGCTCAATGAACGAATCTTACTACGAGGCCATCAAACAAGGATATCGCGAGTTGGTGGAGGAGGACAGTTCGGAAAGAGCGGCATTGCTCAAAGAGAAGCGCGAGTCGGCCTCCTATAACTTTATGGCTGTTTTCTATGGTTTTGACGATAACGGATACGAAGCTGATGATGAGTGTGAGGATAAAGGTGAGAAAACCATTTAGCTGATCTATTCAAATTAGAGCTGAATGAAAAAAAGCAGCGGAAAATCGCAAAAAAATCCCAAAAATTGTGACTAACAAAATGTTCATTTCAAGCCAGAATTTTAGCCAAAAATCTGTATTAATTTTTCAATTTTTTTAAATATCGGAAAAAAAGTTTTCTTAATTTTTTCTTGGATGTTGACTCCTCGATTCAAATCAACTTGATTTTCCCCTCAGCCAGAGATATATTTCAGAAATCCAGAAAGCAAACCAGCCAAACAAGCAGAGCGTCAATGTCTATGTGGAAATCCTAAATGACGATGACACAGAGTCTGATGGTGACGAATCCGATTCGGAGTCTTTTTCTGAGAGCAGTTTCACTGGATCGAGCAGTGCAGATGAGTCAAATGACGGGTCTGATGACTCGGAGGGCAACGAGAATGGGGAAAACTGCATCAATATTTTGTTCTCCAACATGATATTTGAAAAGATCCACTAACCTCCCGATTCCCTTCTAACCAACACTTTACGGTAATTCTAGGAAAAAACGTAACAATGAAAATATTTTGGTGCAATAAGAAGTTTTGGTCGGAGTCTTTCTTTAACTGTTTTTGTATTCATTTCTGTTAACTTTTTGCATCTTTTCAATTATTTCTCAAAACAAACTTCACTGCTGTTCTTCTCAAAAACTTCATTTTTGCTACTAAGCATTTCATTTTCATCACACCCAACATATTTTGCATTCCTTGTTGCTCAGATTGCACCAATGTCTCCTTATTTCTTGAAAAAATTATATCTCAATAAAAAATCTCGTTAAATTTATGACTTTACGAATATATTTGTTTTCAGTATTATTGTTTCTATTCGAACCACAACGTTCTCTTCAAAAATTTTGGGCATTTCTGCATTTAATCTATGTTTTCTTTTTTCTTGACGTCATACAGCAACTCAGTGCGGTAGCAGTGTGTCAACGGGGAAAATGGAAAAGAAGACTTGCTGAGGGGACATTGAGCTTTTAGGCCCAAAAATTGTCCGATTTTCCTCAAAATTAAACGTTAAGATTACGGCAGCAGTGTGTCAATGGAGAAAATGGAAAAGAAGACTTGCTGAGGGGACCATTGAGCTTTTAGGCCCAAAATTGTCCGATTTTCCTCAAAATTAAACTTTAAGATTACGGCAGCAGTGTGTCAATGGAGAAAATGGAAAAGAAGACTTGCTGAAAGGACCATTGAGCTTTTAGGCCCAAAAATTGTCCGATTTTCCTCAAAATTAAACGTTAAGATTACGGCAGCAGTGTGTCAATGGAGAAAATGGAAAAAAAGACTTGCTGAAAGGACCATTGAGCTTTTCGGCCCAAAAATTGTCCGATTTTCCTCAAAATTAAACTTTAAGATTACGGCAGCAGTGTGTCAATGGAGAAAATGGAAAAGAAGACTTGCTGAAAGGACCATTGAGCTTTTCGGCCCAAAAATTGTCCGATTTTCCTCAAAATTAAACTTTAAGATTACGGCAGCAGTGTGTCAATGGAGAAAATGGAAAAGAAGACTTGCTGAAAGGACCATTGAGCTTTTAGGCCCAAAAATTGTCCGATTTTCCTCAAAATTAAACTTTAAGATTACGGCAGCAGTGTGTCAATGGAGAAAATGGAAAAGAAGACTTGCTGAAAGGACCATTGAGCTTTTAGGCCCAAAAATTGTCCGATTTTCCTCAAAATTAAACTTTAAGATTACGGCAGCAGTGTGTCAATGGAGAAAATGGAAAAGAAGACTTGCTGAAAGGACCATTGAGCTTTTCGGCCCAAAAATTGTCCGATTTTCCTCAAAATTAAACTTTAAGATTACGGCAGCAGTGTGTCAATGGAGAAAATGGAAAAGAAGACTTGCTGAAAGGACCATTGAACTTTTCGGCCCAAAAATTGTCCGATTTTCCTCAAAATTAAACTTTAAGATTACGGCAGCAGTGTGTTAATGAGAAAATGAAAAGAAGA